CAGCAGGAAAAATATCATGGTTCTGCTCTACCATTCTTTCAAAGACTATGTATTGGTCCAAGTGAAAAGCTGCCTGTTTCAAAGTGTTTTCTTTTATGTTCAAGCTAGGTGACATCGCAGAGGCTTCTTTTTCCAACTTCTTTAGGCCTAATTGAAATACCTCAGCTTTAGATAGAACAAACTTATCCACAGTCTCTACAACTTCCCCTTTAGGAAGATCAACATCTAATGGAGTAGTCTTGTTTTCCATTGTTTCTGCAGATAAACATAGCTGATCATCTATTGCCACTTCTTGCTTTAAAGCATCTTTATCATCAGGTGATTGGAACAGCTGCAAGGAAACCTGAGGCAATTTCTGTACACCAGAATTAAATGTGTTTTGATGTTCTTTTGATGAAACAGTACTTTTTTCTATAAATTCTTTAGCTTCTTGCTCTGGAAGATCCACGTTTCCCTTGGGTTTTGAGATGAATGCTTTTCTGACCAGCTGGACAGAGTCTGTGTTTTTTCTTTGTGTCATATTCAGACCTTTAAAGGTAGGAGATTCTAATGGCCATTCACATTCTATAGAATCTAATTTATCTGTTTTTTCTCTCTCAGATGCTTGGGTTTGCCGTTGAATTAACTCTTGTTTGCGCGGGTTACTTCCGCTTTTTTTATCTTCCTTTGATTCTCTTCTGTAGGTTACTGAACTAGTATTATTTGGCAAAGAAACATCTCCCTCATCAATGCTACTCTGTAATTTCACTCCAGTATCCCAGAAATTTCTCAAACTCTGAAACTGTGAAGGATTTGAAATTTGATTCTTGGACTTTTCATTCATTTTTTCCTTTAAAGACAAAATCTTGAAGTTGGGCTTTTCTTGGGAACAAGAAACACCTTTTCCTTGAAAGATTTCTCTCCCATCTTTATATTTGCTTTCTGGGGAGGATGAAGTCACACCAACTCTTGGCTGTAAGTTATTGCCTTTTGGTAGTTTTGTACATTCATGAACTTTACCACCAGATAGAAGTGTTCTTTCTAGTTTTTCAATTGCATGTCCTGACCCAAACTCAAAAGAGTTTTGGTATTCATTTCCTGAAGCTTGGCTTTCACCACTTAGTTCAGTTCTTGGTAACTTATTTTTGCTTTGATCATCCAATCCATTAGGTAAGTATACTGTAGTGGGTTTTGTGTTGTCACTTTTTTTGAGGCCATCCAACATGCTGCCATCTGATGCATTAACACCTACACTAGCTTCTTTCTCTCCATGACTGGGGATAGTTTTTTCCCTTTCCCAGAATGCTCTAATCTCCCTTATTCTTCTTTTTTCTCTAATTGCCTTCTCTGATTCACACCTCTGAGCTGGCTGCTCATACTCTTGATGTTCCAAAAGGCTTGACTTTTGATTTTGTTTCATGATTTCTTGATCAAATTCTTTCTCTTTAGCTCTTCTACAGTCAAACTCAGTTAGTGATTTGTCATTTTCTTTCTCATTCTTTTCTGTTTGCTTAGGTTTCCTCCTCTCTTTTATCAGCTGTATATCTTCCGAAATACATGCTGGAGGTGAAACACTCTTCAGTTTTTCAGTCTTTCCAAATGATAACTCTTTTGTAACTTGTGTTTTTCCATCCATGCTAGGCCCACTAAATTCTGTGCTAATAACTCTTGTTCTGGTTGAGAAGTCCGTGCCTTCTTTGGTTTCCCTGCCTTGCAGTCCAGCTGATCTAGGTTTCCTGCCCTCAGTACCAGAACTTCTTTTAAACCAATCTAATACTTTGGATATGGACTTATCAGATGCTTCCACAGGTTCAGTAGCATGTTTGTCAGGCTTGCAAGTGGTTTTAACATCTTGTTCCTCAACAAGCTCAGGCTTACCTTGTTGAAGACCTGCAGAATTGGCATTTGACATCTCACATGCTTCTGTCTTAGCAGAAGGCAGATGTTGTTCTGCAACATAAACAAACTTATCAGAGATAGAAATTGGACATAAGACTCTCTAAGTCCATCTCAAAAATATCTCTCAGTTTTTACTCTTTTAGCAGAGAAGAGAGTTGTCTGTCCTTGTGGTTTCGGGAAGAACCATACTGCAGGCAACGAACTGGAAAAAAAATCCTCTATCGAGATATCCTCCTGGAAAAATAGCCATATTACTTTTGCTTTTTTTGTTTGTTTGGGGGGCGGGGGGTGGAAAAGAGGATGGGTTAATTCCTAGTATAAAGGAAATAGCAAAATGGAAGGGGGAAGAAAAGGCATATATATGTTTAGGCACGTGAACAAATCCCCAAGTCACAATTGCATTACTACCAAGGACAGTCAACAACAATACATCAAAAATTCTACAGTTCTCATGCAGACAGATCTACCAAAACATATGACAGGAATGTTGATGAAACGTCATCACTTCATCTTCATCGTCCATGATAAAGATGCCTAGCAAGGCTCTGATCTGATTTTTAACTCTTAAAAATATCAATAGATCTTCTAAAAAAAATACTGACTACGTTAGAGCATTCGAATACAAACAAGTGGATTAGAACAGTAGTTCTGAAATATGCAGCACATCCTACTATTTCTGTTTCCTAATTTTTAGACACTAATGATTTAAACACTAATGAATTCGGACTATGTGCTTTTGCATTCTGTTCATCACTCCCATCAGTTCTCTTACCTTCAAAGTTTTTGAGTGATTTTGATTCATGGCTCAAGAACTGGTCTGATTTGTTTTCACATGTCTCATCAACACTCAGTTCGTTATTGCTATTTGGCAGGTCATTGCTGGAGGGCTTCCTTGGAGTTTCAAGCTTCTTAGAAGGAACTGTCTTTGTCTGCAAGGTTTCACTTGTCTTTGTCTGCAAGGTTTCACTAACCAGAAAGACTGACCTATTAGTACTGGAAGGACTGGATGCTGATTTATCTTCTTGTAAACTGTCTGTTTCATTTATTTGTAAAGCTGCTGAATAGGTGCCCAAAGGCTTTACAGCAGAAATTTGTTTATTCCCAAGTGAATCTGACGTAAGAGCATCTTTTTCACTACTCTCAATTTCATCAGATTCTAACAAATCAAACTCTCCTACTTCTCTGCCATGATGCAGCTGCGGGCTTTGCAGAGGTTCTCCTTTACCTATACTAGAAGAGAACCGGACTTGTTTTAGTTTTTCCAGTGAAATTTGTGAGGAATCTTCTGCTTCTTCCATAGGAGAGTTCTTCTCGGCTTCTCCTTCAAAAATAGTTGAAGTAGGAAGACCATTCTTAGTCTGAATATCGAACATCTGATTAACACGAAGAACTTCTGAATCGGTGGAACTTGAACTTGAACTGCGCTTCAAAATGCCCCTGGGTGGTGTACCAACGCCATTAACCCTGTCAGTTCTTTTAGCTGGTTTTGGAGCAATGTCTTCGTTTTGTGACAGAGGGTTTGTTACTTTCTGAATGAATTTTCTAGCTTTTGGGACAGGAGGCTTAATTGGACTTCTCTGTGATTGATTAGTAGGTTCTACAGATGGCTTCTTAGGCTTCTCTGTTTCATTGTTTAATAAGTTTGTTTTAGGTTGGCTCTCTTTTGAAGGTGACAACATTTCTGCAAGACACACATAGAGAAGAAATCCTGAGTTTACATGACATTCATCTGCACAAACAGCAGAGTACGACACTGTGCAGACCTAGAATGCAGCAATTATATTGATTTATTAAATCACTTGACAATAAAACATGAGGGAATTCAATATAGGTGTTGATTTGATTTGCATGTAACAGGAAATCTTGACAGATTAAAATCCTCTAGTTAGTTAACATTTCTAGAACAAGAAACATTTACGATTCTAAAGATAAGGAGGACAGTATCAGCACAGTTCCTGCAAAGGAAAATGCACATGCATATGACACACAATTAAAAATATTTACCCTTCTTTGATGTCTGAGGTCTGACTGGTCCATTTTCTACTTCTCCACTATTTGGGTTCTCACTTGACGAAGTAGAATTAAATGGATTACTCCTTTGCTAAAAAAGTAATAGACATTATAATTGGAGTCAAAATATTATACCAAATACAGACTTACCAAAATAAATGAACGAGCTGCAATTTCCTCTGCCTCACTATCCTGTCAGTAAAGAGTTTAAAAGCATGCCTCTTAAACAGGATACTTGACAAGAAGCCTAAACAATTAAAATCAGTGAACTGTCAGAAATGCTAGCGGTAGCCTAATCCCGTCCTTTCTGAAGTCACCAACAGCAGACATATGAAAGACACTTAAAGACACTTGAGAATCCCAAATTCTTGTGAACTATATAGTTTTCTCTCTACTTCTGTGACTTTAGAGATTGGAACAGAGTAAGACGATTCTTTTCAGTGGTTGAGGAGGTTGAAAACAATGTCAAACATACACAGCCATTGATTATAGTCATAACAGCACTTCAGCATTGAACTTCTAGCGGTTTTCATCTCCAAGTATGTGGAGGATAAGAAGGCGATCAGGAGCAGTCGGCATGGATTCACCAAAGGGAAAACATGCTTAACCAACCTAATAGCCTTCTATGATGGGACAACTGGCTGGTAGGGGAGGGAGGAACAGTGAATGTTGTCTATCTTGAGTTCGGGAAGGCTTTTGACACTGGGTTGGATGAGCGGATAGTGAGACTGAATAGCACAGCTCAGACGGTTGTTATCAATGCCACAGAGTCTGGTTGGCGGTCTGTATCTAGCAGTGTCCCCCAGAGGTCAATACTGGGTCCAGTCTTATTTAACTTATTCATCAGTGACCTGGATGAAGGGATAGAGCACCTCCTCAGCAACTTTGCTGACGATACAAAACGGGGAGGAGTGGCTGATACACCAGAGGGCTCTGCTGCCATTAAGAAGGACTTGGACAAGCTGGAGAGAAGAGCAGAGAGAAACTTCATGAAGCTCAACAAAGGGAAGTGCAGGGTCCTGCACCTAGGGACGAATAACCCCATGCACCAGGACAGACTGAGGGCTGATGAGCTGGAAAGCAGCTCTGCAGAGAAGGACCTCGGAATCCTGGTGGACAACAAGTTGACCATTAGCCAGCAGTGTGCCCTTGTGGCCAAGAAGGCCAATGGGATCCTGGGGTGCATTGGGCAGAGTGTTGCCAGCAGGTCGAGGGAGGTAATCCTCTCACTCTGCTCAGTCCTGATGAGGCTGCATCTGGAGTACTGTGTCCAGTTCTGGGCTCCCCAGTCCAAGAGAGACATGGCACTCCTGGAGAGAGTCCAGCAACGGGCTACAAAGATGATTAAGCAACTGGAACATCTCCCTTATGAAGAAAGGCTGAGAGAGCTGGGCCTGTTGAGCCTGGAAAAGAGAAGACTGAGGGGGATCTCATAAATGTGTATAAATATCTGAAGGGAGGGGCATCAAGAGGACGGGGCCACTCTTCCCAGTGGTTCCCAGCAATATGACGAGAGGCAGCAGGCACAAACTGAAACACAGGAAGTTCCATGTGAGCACCAGGAAAAACTTCTTCACTGTGAGGATGACAGAGCATTGGAACAGGTTGCCCAGAGAGGTAGTGGAGTCTCCTTCGCTGGAGATATTCAAAACCCACCTGGACACAATCCTGGGCAACGTGCTGTAGGTGACCCTACTGGAGCAGAGTGTTCGGACTAGATGATCTCCAGAGGTCCCTTCCAACCTCAAACATTCTGTGATTCTGTTTCCATTATCTCACTCCAAGACCAAAAATATTCAAATTTTATAATTTATTATCTTTCTCCCTCAGTTCTCTAATTATCATTACCACTCAACCAGAGAAACACATAAAGTGTAAAAGATAACTTTTGCTATATTCAATATATCATACCTTTACTGGTGAGACTGCTGCCTTCCCAGATTGTCCCTGTGGTTTGTCTAACACAGAGGTTATTGTTTTAGAACTGCAAGGAAACGATATAGAATATGATCAGCAACCAGCACATTACTTTAAGTCTTAAAAAAACCTCAACCAAACAAAAAAAATAAAACCAACTAAAAAAAACCACGAAGAAACCCAAAAGAGATTCAGTTGCACATGCTTAACTTTTAGTGCCAAGAGAATGTATTTTCCATTCAGTCTGTTCTCATTATATTTAGAAGCAAGCTTCCCCCTTTTCCATAGCAAGGGAATATCTTTCTGCTTTGTTTCCTTGCAAAAATTTGCTTGTGAAATAATTCAATATAACTACTACCTGAGAGGACAGAATTCATTTCTTCTGATATCTTTTAGGCTTTTAAGCAAACTTTACTGAAATACAGCCATTCTCCAAACCAGATCAGTGTTAACATCTCTGCCCTTTTCCTACATTAGTACTTCTAGGACTGGAGCTTATATGGAGGAAGGTGTTAAAATCTGGTGAAAATAAGGAGTTTTACACAGTGTCCAAGCCAGAAAAAAAAATCAGAGGAACATCATTAAAACTATACTAAAGATGCGACATGCCACAAAGACGGTTAGATCCCCTCAGTGGTACACGCTGTTCCTTCAGCTAAGCTGCTATCAAACTGAAGGTTTTTATAGACAAGTGAATTTAGTTATTAATTGTGATCCTAACCGAGCACATTCCAAATAAGAAAAAAACACGAAAAATCTAAAAAGATAGTTCCTACATTATACCAAAAAAAACATTTCTTGTCTATTTGCAAAATAATGCAAGGTTTTTGCAAGAGTCACATTAGACAAACTTAAAATGTAAATGTAAACAACACAGACATATGAAAAAGCATTATTTTTTTAAGACAGAAATTAGATGTGGATTTAAATATGGTCTTCACATAGTGGAAAAAAAAAATCAACCTAGGACTGTCCTTTAACCACATTCAGTCTACTAACTTTATACAGAACAATGCTGGCATTAATCAGCTTACATGATTATGACTTTGGGGGTGAGGGGAACAGCATGAGGCAGGAAAAAGGAATATTCTCCAGCTGGGAAACATAACTTCATGCTAGGTTGATTTTTCCAGTATAGATGTACAAGGAGACTGACACTGAATACTTCTGATCTTTCTTACTTTGTGATCAATAATCTTTGGCACTGGTGAAAATACTTTCGGATATTGATTGGTAAGTAGCAGAGTCGTGAGACAACGCTTTAGAGAGCGGATGTGGCATCTTAGGAAAAGAAAACAGCTCCCAGCTCTTAGGAAGTTCCAGGTCTAAACAGGAGCTGCCTTCTCAAAGAGAAAAAGCTCTCTCCAGTCAGGTAACTGGTGACGCTCTGCCCTGCTAGGGAGGGAAGAACTTTCCCAGCTCCTCCAGGTTTCAGCACACAACCTCTAAACTGGGAAAGAAATGGCTGGCAGCTACCCTTGAAAGGCTGCCAGCCCCTGCACTGCTAAGTGTGTCCTAAGCATGCTAAGTGACATCGCTCCCTTCATTCCCATTTTACAAATGGAAAAACGTAATTACAGAGAAATGACCTGCCTGAATGCAAAGCCATGAAAAAATTCCAATTGTAGTCTGAGCTATAAACATCCACCTCTTTTCCTTGCACTTTTGGTATGTTACTTATATAAAATACACATCTATGCACTCTCATATTTATCTTGTAATGGAAACTATCTCATGGGTGAACAAAATAAACAGCTTATATTTTAACAGTAAGTGCAGCAGTGTATGTGTGTGCATGCACATACATATACCTACATACACACTTATATATACATACACCCACATGTACATGCACCAGGTATAGCAGATTTTTTTTATTTTCTACTCCTAAAAAAATATATTTTTCTCCCATTCTCAAAGAGCTCAGCATTGCTCTAATACTCTTTATTTCTGAAAATATATACATTTAAAGAATCTCTGTTCTGTCGAGCTGTAGTTTTTGGTTTTTTTTTTTTTATGAGCATTTGCACGTTCCTGCACTTGATGTCTTATCTACACCATTACCTCAACAGGTCAAACATGATTTTTTAAGTCTAGCTCATGAACACTACAACTCTTCTCTCATTTCAAAGAACAGCAATACTGTTATATATTCTGAGCTGCAAGAAACTGATAAGACATTCTTTCATCTTGAGTTTCTACAGGTGGGGCAGTAACTTTTTAAATTCTCATTACATGCACACAATCTCATAATATTTTAACACAATGATACTTCATGTTTATCTAGAAAAATGGAAGAGTTGTTATTTTGGCATTGTATATTGAAAAACTTGTTCTAAAGAAAGCATGAGACAGAAAAATCAAGATCCTAAAGCTGAGTGTCACAGCAAGAGGTCTGAAAACCTCAATTTACCCTCAGCCCATACAGATAAGAAAATAGAACAAAATTCCCAGCTGTGCTGTAGCTAATCTGAGAGTGTGTTAAGCCAAGCTAACAAATACAGACAGATGAAAGAATTACCACACTGCAGTTCAGCAAGACCAAGTTCTGCGAGACGCAATGCAGAGACACCTAACACAGGCTTGAGCTGAACCAGACCTATATTAATTCTGTGCAGACTGCATAGCAACGTCAGACTGGGGATCAAGAGGCAACAAGGCCAAGGCAGCGGTGAAGCTGGAGAAAGGGGTTATAGATTTGTGTGCACTGTCAACAGAGTCTGCTCAGATACAACCTCACATTCCAACAACTAAGTCCCTCCGGGATCATCCAAAAGGCTAGAGTGCCTAGTGCAGAAATTCCCATCCGGAGAAAGTAAAGTTACTGTGATTGAACTGTGCTCCACAGAAATGGTCTTATCCAGGTATCTCAGCACCCCTATTACTCCAGAAAAGGAAACTAGACTGCAGTAAAGTTACTTAGATTTTAACAATTAGGACTTTCGTGCAAATTTTCACCCTACAGAACTACAGGACACTTGTCACCTATTCAATATGGTCAGCTAAGAATATTTTCTATCAGAGGGAAGAAAAATGCTACGAATCATAAACCGAGAGGCAAAACCTCCTCAACAATGCTCTTTTTTGAGATTCAGCTTGTAGATGGATGGTATCACTGAACAGAGGCAATACTGACAGTGTGAGTGAGTCACACCATGAAACTCATTCTGTGCAAGGTTACACCTTCAAAGACGCTTCACACACCCAGACAATGAAGGCTCTGGTATGCAAGAAAAGCATCATGGGGATATAACGCCACAGAAAAAAATTGTTCATAGCTTCATTACTGGATTTAGATATTTGGGGTGTGGGGCTGAAGATAACTATCCTAATTTTAAGAATATAATTGTGGGCTAATTTTTGTTATCCCTAAGGAAACAACCTGATTTGATAGCAGTTGAACAGGCTCCAGAGCTGAATTTGACCCTCAGCAATTCACAGGTACAAATCTCCTACCAGAACTGCGCTTTCTTCACGTTCAGTAAGAATTGTTTTGGTTTAAGAACAGGATCCAAAGCAAACAACATCTCGGTAATTTGCTGTCACATAACTTCTGGGGCCAGGCCTGAGGTCCAGCTGTTTGGTTCATGCAAAGCCTGCAGGCCAGTGCTGGCCAGAAGCCCATTCTTAAGGGAAGGAAGGAAAATAAAACAAAACAAAAAAAATGCAACCCCCTCCTACAAACCTACCATTAAATTAACCCTCAAAAAACCCAAAAGCCTGAACTACCTTATGATTTGAACACTAGAAACTGTTAACTCACTTTATGTGATAGCAAACTCCAGAATGATTGCTCAGTTTCACCCTTTTTAGTTCTAGCCATGTTGAGACTGTTGTGTTGCAAGAGGAAGGGTCAAGAGCAAGAACTCCTTGCAGCTCTGCTGTCCTAAATACTGAAACAAAATGCTTGTAACGTCTAGACTTTCCCTTCCCACTCTATATGGTGGGGCTATTGCTTTCCCAGCATACTGCGCTTCCCCTCAGTTCCTAATCAGCTGCTGTCATCAGGGACAGGTACATAGCCAAGCCCGACCAGTTTCTTTACAAGTCCAATATAGGGAAAACAAAAAGTATTTTAGAAACAGAGGGCCCCTCCTGCAATTTCCCCTATAAAGGCTAATCTTACTTGTAGTGAAATAAACCCCAACTGAAGTCATAAGCAATGAACTGTACAAAGTGTTTACCACATTAGATCGCTTCAGCTTTGCACATTTCAGAAGCCAACAATCTGAGACACTGAATCAAGTATTTATGAAAAGTAAATGCAAATAATAGTGTCTGGTCCATGTATTGCAGGTCCCTTTCTAAGGTCTACCTGCAGCTGTCTCACTATCAATCCTGGACTTGTTTTGGCAGGAACATCTTGAGCTATCAGTGGGAGCGTGAGCAGACATGAATAGAGCACACAGGATAATGAATTTCTGATGCAATTTGGAGTAAAGGGTCCTGGACATCAATTATCATGCTTCACATGGGATTGGAACCGTGACCTGAAATAGTCATCAGATCACCTCAGGCTAAACACCACGATCAAGTGAGTGACTTTCCTTTGCAAAGCGTAGACAGTGTGTTTTGAGAGAGGGGAGAGAAAAAAAAAGGGGGAAAAAAAAAAGCAAGCCAGACTATAATGCTTTCTCAGAAGCACAGACCTGAGCTTACCTGATTGACGTTTAAGAACAAGTTATTTTATATTTTTTGTGAAGAGGCTGTCCTAGCAATTGTCCAGAAGTTTCTTATTGCTTATCAATCACACATAATCTGTTGTGTTGCGATAGTAAAAGTAACATTATAAAGCTGTACTTATTTTAGAGTATTATGTTCTTTCCATGAGGTCCAAGAAGACATGCAAAACTCTAAAATATATCTATTAATTTAAAATTAAACAACAGCATGTCTTGTGCTGTCCATAAATAAATTTAACAATCTTCTGAAGGTAAAAGCCAATTTTAGGAAACAACGTTCAGTAACAGCTAACTGCAGCAGCATTATTGGCCAACGTTATTGCAAAGCCCTAAGCTTTTTCCTGAGATGAGCAACCTTAATCATCACTACAGGACAACTTCATTTTTGGGGAAGACTGTAACAAAGGAGTTTATATGTTTGACCTTTTTCAACAAGATTTTACATGTGGATAAGTCAGACATCATTTTCAGTGAACTCAGAGGGTTATGTAAAGGATAAGTAAAGACCAGTAATGCAAGCCAGCTTCGTTAAGACTTACACCAACCTTTGGTGCCACTCATCGTGAGGGTGGTTGCCCACTTTGCAGACCATGAAAGTGAAAGACGGAACTGCTAGAAGGTATTGTACAAATGCATAGTAGGAGACAAGCCTTGCTGCAAAGAAAAAACAGATGACGCACAGAGAAGGGCTTAGAAGAGAGGCAAGAAAGTGAAAGGTTACAGAACTGATTAGTGGTACAACCAGAAGTAAAACAGTCATCAAAAGTAACTCTGGCTCTTAACTGACTCTATTCACTGAAAGTACAAATGGTAGCTACGGTTGCTACACCCCGGTCCCCATTCCAGTGCTTTCTTGTTTCCTCAAACAAGGACATTATCACTTTTCTTTTCAAAGGTAGGTTTTTTGAAAGCTTTTTGTACTGCCAGACGAATTACTGCATGTAGACATTTTAAAGAGAAGACGTTTCCTTTTCCTTCAGAAATAAATTCAGTACATTTCTGATAAAAACGGAACTGTTTGGGATAGACTTGAGATGGAATGATTTAATACAAAATCCTCTTCAGTTGAGGAACTTCTTCTCATACAGCTTTCCTGTAACAATTAGATCCATTCAGTCATACTCAAGACGACTGTCTTGCATCACTCTATATGGAAGCGTCTCCTTTACAGACATTTCTTTTTCTTGGTAAAATCAGATTTATTTTTCTCAAATATTGAACGGTTCTAGTTCTTCCTGCAAGTTTAAAAATCAGGCTGAATCACTAGTCTGTTCTCACTGAGTGACTGAACGAAGAGATGCAGAAGTTATTGTCCCCAGATTAGTGGCTGCGAAGGACTCAACGTGGCCAGCAGTTCTAACCAGAAAATCCTGGTCTCAGTTCTGGGAGGCACATTAAACTGTGATATAAGAACATATGTGGGACCATTCTACACACCTTTGGCAACTTTCTCCCTGTAGAAGCAAGCCAAAGGTAGCTGCATTCAAACGCAGAACAATTAACAATGCATAACTACGATTTGTCAGCCTTTCACAGGGATGGATCCCTCAGGCCATTCTGAGGAAATATTTGAAGCTCTTTGAAATCAGAAGAGAAGATAATATTTCAGAAGGAACTTACAGCTCCCAAGTTTCACCCATCCTGATGTTCACATGCTAACTCAGACTGAACAGACAGCTTACCTTGAACTAGATTTCACTTCTTCTTCATGTTCCACAACATCGTATAGTTTTGGTGGTACAAAGACTTCTTTATTGATATTGCTCACCCAGCTATTCTGTGCTTTGTTTGGTTTGTTCTGACTCACTTCAGCTAAAACATGAAATGGGAATATAGTTATCTCCCCTGTATGTTCACACAGGATTTCACAACAAGCAAAAATAATTATTTACATTCAGATATACAACTATTCCATAAGGCCACTATACTTGAATTCTGTACACAAGCAGATCTGGTGATTTCTGAAGAGTAATTTTTTCTTACTACTAGAAATTTTGCAAACTAATCCAAATACTTCATTCTACTACTCCAGGTATAACATCAGCTTTAGACCTTAAAGTGATCCTAAATGAGGAAGTCTCCTACAATAGCCCAAGTAAAGACTGATCCTGTAGTTTTTGTAGCTAGATACACGCAGAAAATTCAGTAACATCTATGTCACGAGGAAACAAATACAATTAAACCATAGGAAAAATTGGAAAAAAAAAAAAAGTGCAAGTGCAGTAAGTCAACCACTCCCTTCCTATAGCAGTAATTTGGAAATTGGTCACAGTTTTCAGTTAAACAGGTGGCTAATCCTTTATGGATAGAATTAACACAAGAAGGCAGTGTTTAAAAAAAAAAAAAAAAACCCACACCCATACTCATTCATGTATTTGTATATTGACCATATAATTGTATTTCTTTTGAGAGTGGGATAGAACCCTCTTTCAGAGCCAAAACATTAATGGTATATTTATTCCTCTACCATTTTCTGTACTTCTGCAATAGTTTAGAAGTCAAGATATTCTCAGTGTGCAAAAATAAGACTTGTGTTCCTGCTTTTGCTATGCATAACTGCAAGTAAAAATATTTTGATGTTTAACGAGTCATTGGAACCAAACAATTGTGCAGTTCTGAACATACCAGTATGCCCCTTTAAGTAATAAAACTGGGAGTAACTATCATTCCTTATAGATAATATGGCTTTAGGTACTTTCCACTAAGCCATAGGTAAGAGCTGCTGTAAAACCTAAGCCAAATACTAGCTAGAATTTTACAGCTGATTTTCATAACCCTCAATTCCAAACACAGGCAAAACCACAAACATACCGCTCTAACCACCCGTGTACTTCCATATTCCTTTCCATTTCAGGCCTTTTCGTGTTAAGTCAAAATTCCTACACAGTATTCTGAAGCTGACCAAACTACTATTATGAAAATAGTTCCAGTTGCCAGAATCATAGGCACATATGCTTCAGTGGTTATAACTACTAGCTGTAGTTTATGGTGCCTACCACTGCAATCCATCTAAAGTACCTTTGGTTACCTTAACTAAATTAAGTCTCAGAGGTATCAGACTTAGCACCCAGAATCAGGAAAATTCATCTTGAAGAGTGATTTCTCAATCTCTGCTTCTTCGTACGATCCAGGGTAATGCATAGGGCTCAGGAGTGAAAGTGAGAACGAGACCCAGGACTGGAGAGGGCTTTTAGTCCAATGCATAAGACAGCCCCTCCTACTAGCAGTCAACACCCCAAATTCTCTCTTTGTACATAATGTTGAGGGAGAGGAAGTCTTACACTATAAAATACACTGAAAATCCCTCCTTTGCATAAATTTTTGCTCATAAGGCTATCTTCCTTGGAGACATTCAAAAGTCATCTGGACACAATCCTGGGCAATGTGCTCTAGGTGACCCTGCTAGAGCAGGGGGGTTGGACTAGATATCTCCAGAGATCCATTCCAACCTCAAACATTCTGTGATTCTGTGATGCAGAATCAGGCAGTGATGTCTGAGGTTACCTAAGTAAAAGCATCATCTCTATGCTATCCTTTCCAAAATAAAATATAAGGAAAAACATAATAAGTCACATGCTTACCAAGCGTGGCAGGCTTCCTTCGCATAGAAGCTCTAATAATATCTGCTCCATGTATCTTATCTCTGTGCCTCTTTGACTTTGCTTCATAAAACCACTGTCCACTCATATTCTTTAGCTGGACATCATCTTTGATTTTTTCTGGTAAATGTCTGGGGGGGGGGGAAAAAAAAAGAGAGAGAGAGTGAGACACATAGTCTGCTTATTTGTACAAACAGAATAGAAGTCCACAAAGGGAAATGCTCAATTTGGTACAGATGTGCAGGTTCTCACCAATACTGAAAGCAAGATAACCGAAGTAGGGGAAAGGAAGTGGAGAAGGGTACTAAAGAAAAAAAAAGCAAGCTATTTTTTTCTGGTGCTTCATCTTTCTGCATTTTTTTTAATACACTCACCAAGCTCTCTCTTTTAGAAATCAGGAGAGTGCACCATAATCCAAATTTTTAGGTATAAGCACAGCATTTATCATACCCAAAAGTGCAAGGAAAAGGGAAAATCCAAATGTATCAGTAACAGACTCTCCACAGTCTGTTGAGATGACAGTTTCTACTTTAAATACAGTATATACTGTTATTCTTACTCATCTGATCTGAAATTAAATTTAAGCCTATTCAAGTAGTTTTTATAAAGAGGTACTTCTAACTGGTTTCACTAGTACTGAACAGATGTTGTCTACAGACAAAATGCCAGGCTCCCTGATGGGATCATTATTGCCACAAGAGCAATTTTTTTTTAACTTTTCTTAAGAGAAACCTTGATTAGGGTAGCTTTGTTTACTGCAGGAGAAAAATTCTTCCCACATTACTAGCAGATTTTGTAAATCCTAACAGCTACTATGCAGAAGAAATGCTACTCATTAAAATACCTGACCACCCCCAATTTTGGTTAGCAGCTTGAACAAAATATAATCCATTTGTACCCACCTCTCCAAAATAGTTCATTTACGCACACTTTAGAAAACAAGGTTTAAAATAGCTACTTCTCTTGTCAAAGGCTCCGAATTGTAAACAGCAGTTTCTTAAACACAAAACATACATACTCTGCGCAAGCTGCACACTAACTGTAGTGGATGTACAGCTACCCTCTTTGGCTTCAGGTATATATATCCCTTTGCTTCTCAGTTAGCCAAGTAATTTAGCTCAAGAGAAACCAGCAGCTGCTCTCACTTCTGTGATTCATGTATAGCAGTTGCTTAACTAATGTTTTCATAGTTTAAACTTTGTATTGTTAATACAAGGTATTCCTTTAAAATTGTGTTGAATGGAGTTGTGCTCTCTCTGTCCTTCTAAAATAGGAAATCCGATTCCTCCACAGTGGACCTCATCAGTTATCTTAAGAACCAGGACCAAGATTCAGCTTCTCAGCAGACACAGTCACACTCTCACGTGGCTATGCTAAATGGGTACATTTTTCTCTTCATCTGCAACTTACTTTAGTGCCCTCCAAAAGGTGACACTTCCTACAGCACAGGATCTCTGATTTGTTCCACTGGTGTGCTCTGGAAGTGCCTAGAGATTTTTTTTTTTTTTTTAAGGCTGCCTCAGCATGTTATTTTCATCCTCCAAACTGTTACTCTCCTTATTTAATTATGGCAGGCTACAATGACACTGAACTGGGGAGGGGATAGCGTAAACCCTATGTCAGTTACCGTAACTCCTCAAAAATATGTTTTTTTTCTAGACTTTCAGGCTGAAACAGCCCTGGAAAAGCCTCCAGTAGCTACAGATCTTGACTTCTTGCCCCGAAGGCTGGTCCTCCAAAGTTAAGGTTGGAATAAGCTAGCAGGGCAGCATAAGATATCTGTGCCAAAATTAAGACCAGGGCTGTCTTGGGGCTCAGAAGATTCATTTTCAGGCTGTTTATATGGCGCTGCCTTCATACATACCCCTCAAAGTGCTCTGGGCAGATGGTGCCATACTTTCTATACGTTACCCAAAAGCCTTTATATGAACATGAGTCACAAGGGAAGACAGTATCACTCGGAGAAAATAACAAAATATTGTACAGTTTATTAATCTACATGTTTCCATCACAAGCACTGCAGCTATTTTAAATACTGTGAAGCAAGTTTGTAATAGTTTAAATTCAGGCTTCAGGGTCACCCTGCTTTTACGAATCACATGTTATGGAACGAAGAGCTACCGTGTGCAGTTTGGGAGGTTGTCTTCTTTCTTTATTAGGGCACATAACTCAGATATGCACCAAACACATGGCCTGGAGACCAACCTACAGACCAGGAAAATTAATACAGAAATTTGGGGGAGTACTTAGCAATTAAAAATTAAGTCAGGCTTCACCTGCCATCTCCATTCATGAATCTTCCTTCAGTAAATAAGCTAATAATACAGCCCAAGGGAGAAAGAAAGACAATTCTACAAGTTACTCGGAAGCTTTAATGCTAACTACAGTCCACATTGGTATGTGACAGTGCTGTCTTCTAAAGACCAGACAAGGAAGTCAATGCCAGTTTTATATTGCTCACAAGTTGAGGAGAAGAATCTTCTAATCCAATCAAGCAGCGATGGTCATAGTCCTTTTATTACAGTTTGCAGATTTGACCCTTAGATTTTACCAGTCTAGTACAGACAAGCATTCAGAGCTGGGAAAGGACATCATGAGCAGGCCCTAGCTGCCCAGGCTAAGAAAGGCCATTCTCACCTGTCCCTCAACCCCTCCTTCATCCTTGTGTGGCAAGAAATGAAAAGGCTTATTTGAATGCATTAGCTACTAGTACTTGAACACTTAAACTTCTCTTCCAAAGTAGCTGTCAAGAGTCAGTCCTCCCTAGGTATAAAAACAAGTTCTCTGTCTTGAATCAGCTACAGGGAGTAGAGGCTGCCAAGAGTTGAGGTCCTCACTGCCATTTTTGGTGCCAAGATTCAACGGTCCATTACAGTACTGGACAACTTAGAATTTAGCTCTCTCTCCTGCTTATAACCCGTGCTTCTCCAAGAACCAAAATACATTCTTCTCATCTGCTGCAGGTCCTCCAGGTTGGAAAGGGAACACAGCAGAAGTTTCCCTCTACCCTTAAGCAAATTCACTATTCAGCTATGAGCCAAATCCTCACTACACAGCCAGTTCATGAACACAGCCAGCAGGAACAGTGGTAATACGTACGACATGCAAGAACTTTTACACTGCGGTTTGCTTCTCCCTTTCTCCTGCTTTCCCATGCATTATTTGCTTTCTTAGAACAGAGGTTCCCTAAGGCTGGGGATTGGCTTTTCAGCCATTTGCACAGCCCCCAGGCCAGCAGAGCTCTGACCCCAGCTAGTGCTTCAGGGCAATATGACAGCCAATGCCAAAGGAGGTTCTCTAGTGGGAAGGTAATGAGTCACAGTAGAAGTATTCAATGCCCTCACTTTGTTTGATTCACCCTTTTTACCCTAGTTATTGCTAACTCTTTTTGCCTTTGTATTCAATCACTGAAATTAGGGTGCGGCAGGGGACCTTTGCAAGTCAGCTGAACAGACTGATAGATTGCTGGTAGAAGTAGCTGGTTCAGACCACAAGGTCCACAACCTCGTAGCTAAGTAGCTAAGTCAGACTGTTTACCTGCTGTCCGATCCTCAGATCTGCTACTGATAAACATGATATAAGCAGGATAGAGACAGAGGCATGAATTTGTCATGACTCTAGATGTTCATGAAATGGCTCTCATTAAAAACCCTCAATAACATTAAGAGTTAAGAGACATTAAGTGTCTCATTATTTAATCCTTGGCCAATGCAGCTGTCATTTTTGCTGGAAATGAATGTCAAACACCTGACTCCCACTCCTGCTTGCTGGCTATGGAAGCTACCGTACCTCAACTCCAACAGCTCAGCAGGCCTTCAAGAATTCAACAGACAATTAAGCTCGCTGACAAAGGTATAAATTAGGTCTACACTCACCCTATTCTTTCTTTACAAGTGACCAGTCCGGCTGATAGAGCCATTTTAAGAAGTGACAGAAGCTCACTGCAGCTGACTTGCAAATTGCTTCTTCTGCCTTCTTTTCTCTCCTTGATAGTCCAACCACTTGACCTGTGTTAAATACTTCTCTTGATAAGAAGAGGAGTTAAGTTAGCTTCTTCTGAGGAGCTAAGAGCAACATAAACATTACAGCAGTTCCCAGGCTTTCCCCAGGCACAAATAAGAAGAGGCAGATTTCCATTATCAGAAAGACACTAAGCTATTAGCTCTAGCTCTCAGAAGGATAAAAGCTTCTGAGAAGCCCATGTTCAGCAACACATCATAGACTTTCTGCAAAAGAAGCTGCCAAGATTAAACGTGAATCTTCACAATGCTATTTGAATTTTCAAGTTCTGCTTTGTGCAGGCATCAGCAGAAGCATCAAACTGATTGAACCTTGTGGCCAAGTGTCACTGCTGTGCATTAGATTTAGATTGTGGTTTCACTTGAAAGGCATGGTCCAGAAGTCAAACTGTAGCCATTATTTTCCACTGCTGCTTACACCTTCCAGCATTGGAGCTCTGTAACAGGACTAGAAGTCGACAGCGGATTCTGCGCCAGCTCTCTCAGTCAACAGAATGGCTAATCAAGTTACGGTTACGTTATTTGCTTTTGGCAACAAACAAACTAGTAGGCACCCAGTTTAAGTTTCAGATTGCAGGCTCAGTTTGCAAAGTTTACAATTAGGAAAAATGCTATTGTGGCTTTACATATGAAGTAAGCTTTTATTCTGGAGTCCCTGGGTGGTCTGTTAAAATGCCAATTACCTCATGTTGCAGTTTTCAGAGTGAAACATCCTGATGTTATAATAAAGCTAGTGCTTGTTTCTTCTAGAGCAACAAACTCAAGAAAGTGAGGTTACACAGTTAAAAAAAAATGACTCTAAAATCCTCTTTTCAGATAAGCTTGGAGTTCTCCCTTTACTTAATATGCTGTTTCCAATATGTCTAAGTGAAGTAATTTTGATTAGAGAAGACAAACCTTTCATGTAGGTACATGTAGTATTACACTTGAAGATACATGCAAAACAACCATGAGGCACTTCGCAGGCAAACAAACACAAAAACTACACTTATCAACTGGGCCATTGCTCCCCACCTCTGGAAGGTCTGATAGCCAGTTAAATCACATGGTACCACAGCAAGGCATGAAATCTGCTCTCTGATCTAATCAGTCATGTACACTTTTCTATCAGT